GAGTTATTAATTAAACAAAGAAAAAAGAAAGAAAAAGGTAATTATTAACAGTAAAAGTAATCATCAAATAATGTAATTGTAAGTTATACGCATGACCTTTGATCAATGTAATCTTTGATCTTTGACCAATCCTATATGAGAATAATTTTACGTAATACGTAATAAAAACCTACATAAATGTTATCAAATAAGTTCATTTACATTGAAATTCAATTTTACATTAAATAATAAAAAAAAAAGAAAAAAAAACGAAAATGTAAGCAGGGAAAAAAAAATTTACCACTTCCTGTTTTTACTCGAAGTTGTACCGTATATTTCCATTCTGAAAGCTCATATTGTGCACGACCATAGAGTAGCACTTTTGGATTGCCTATCTAACAGAATTAATTTTTTTTTTATTTTTAAATTAATCAAATGTTAATTTAGTAGGGATAGGGAAAAATTTTTAATTATATGTGGTACGAAAGGTAAGTAAAAAGTATTTTTCTTGTTTTATAAAAATTTTTTAATTAATTCGATTTAAAAGCTATAAGAAAATTAGTGCCACTTATTTTTTTTTTTTTTAGAAAATAATTTCCAAAAAATTTCAGGCTTTAATTTTTGGCTTTAAAAAAAAAATACTGTATTGAGTTAACCGGATGATGCATACTGGTCATATATTGGTATTCTTGAAAGAAGATCTTTTTTTTTCCCCCCCCCCCTCCATCATTTCTAAAGTTATTCTACTTTATCCATTCCTATACTAATAATTAAAATCATTTTAATGTTAATCTTCTCTTCAAAGATTATCCATAACCTTATCAATATTAGGATGCACAATAAAATCAATATTCTCGATTGAAAATTTAACCGCAAATGGTAATGATTCAATAAATTGTCCACGTATACGATGATTATCGATTACCATCGAAAATTGTAACTCTCGAATGATTGACAAGTTATATGATGCATTTTTATTAGACTAAAATATGCATTAAAGTTAAAGTAAAATTTTGATTTTAATCAGGGATGTTGTAAAATAAATTTTAACATTAATAATTAATTAATTAGTACTACCGAGAAATCTGAAATAGTTTTCCATAATATAGCTATGAGTTATACCGAGATATAATATGTAAATCTTTCCTTCTTTGTTCATTCGTATACGGTAATAGACAAAAAAGCCATTATAACAGTTGTAAAGCTTTGTTAATTACTGTACCCGTCAATTACTGTACGCTCTGTCAGTTACTGTGCTCGTTGATTACTGTAAGCTCTGCCAATTATCGTACCCGTCAATCACTGTAGCTCTGTCAGTTACTGTACCCGTTAATTACTGTAAGCGCTGTCAATTACTGCATCCATTTAGATTTAAATCTCCCTTAATTACATTATGTATATGTTATCCTTCATACGTCTCATTTCAGCGATTATTCTTTTTACTTATTTATTTCATTAATTTACATTCATTTACAATGCATTGTTAACTTTTACCAGTTGATTTCATATTAGTTATTGTTCTAATTTGTTGGTTATTAAACTATTCTATGCTAAATTTGTTGCTTATAATTGTAACTTAAAAAATTCGAGCTTTACAGTAATACTTCAACAAAAGTAAATCCTTCGCTTCCAATTCATATTTTTAATTTAATTATCATTTGTACCATTTCACAAACTTCGACAAACTTTCGCGACAAATACATGTCAAATAACTAATTAACTGGTGCATATCGAATAACCGATGAGTTAATAGATGTCAGATAATTAATTAACTAATAATGTCAAACAACTAATTAGCTAATACATGTTAACGTAATCATTGCATTCCTGTATTGATAATTATCAAAAAATGGCAAGTTTATGACAAATGAAATAGCTAACATAATATACTTGTCATAAACTAATGAACTAATACATGTGAGGTGACTAATTAATTAATAATTTCATTTGTCATTTCGTTTATTATAAACTTGCCATTTGTCGTCAATTATCAACACAGGGATGCAATGATTATTTTAACGTGTATTAGCTAATTAATTATTTGACATTATTAGCAGCCATGGAATTGTTGGTAAATAAGCTTTTCAAATTTATTTATATTCTTAATGGGTAGATTAAGCGAATAATTTTAATGGTCTTTTAGATAAACTTATTGAAATCCCTCTTTACATGTAGTAAAATTATAGCACATACGGTAGAACTATGGTAGAACACTATTATAGTTTTACCATATGCTCTTATCATTAGGATACGGCAAATATTGCTAGTGATACTTTAGGTAAAATAATTTAGCAGGAAAAAAGAGTTTTTTAACTAATTGATCTGTATGAATTTTTTGAAAGTTAAATCAATTGTCCAGAATCTTTTTATGATTCATTTACAACTTCAAATATGGATACTGTATTTCCTGCAATCTCTTTCCTTTGCGTAACGCTATCAAAAATAATGGTAAACAAAATCATAATCGCGTAAAATTAGCAAAAATAAGGAAAGAAAATCTTCATTGTCTAATTTTTACTGTAAGAATACCAAAAATTTTGCTATCAAAACATTTTTTTTGAACCGTTTTTTTTTTTAAATAACAAAAATTTACGCTTAAATAGCGATTAAAATTTGCGTGGAAACCTATCGTACCTTAATTTGTTCATTTACAGTATCCATCCCACCGTTCTCTAAATTGTATATATAAAACAATAAAGTAAATACAAATATATTTACAAACTTATACTTTCGAACAAATATTATCCAACAATTTGTATGTCAGAAAAATAAATTTTCGATATCTAAATATACATTGAACGAAATTAAGTTATAATTTTTTGAAATATTTTTCGTTTTTTAATTTTTTTTTAGATATTTTTATTTAGGGATACTTTTTTTTCTTTCCGAAAAATATAAAGTTATTACGGTAATGAAGGAACACTTTTTTTTTTGGATTTTCTAAAATTTTTTTTTTTTAATTATAAAATGATAATTTAGTATGAAATAACGATAATTTTTAATGGTAAAAGTAGCATGAAATAATTTTATTTCCCTGTCAGAATATCTAATATCTAAATATAAATATAATTGTAAATAATTCCCTAGATACTCTCAGTATTCCAAGAAGTAAGCAATACTTTAAATTTAATTTTCTACAAACTAAATTTTCCTCCTCTCAATATTCATTTCAAATTTATCATATCCATTCCTCCTAAATTTTATTCTCTTTTCAAATATTCCATTAAATGACGATTGTCGTCTTTAATTGATAAATATTTATATTTCAGTTCAAATGGTTTTTGCAAAATATCGTAAGACTAATTTTATCAATTAAAAATATTGTTAAATTCATGAATTTAATAATATTTATGGAAAAATAGGAGATTACGTTAGATAAAATTAAGTGCTGTAAATCAATTAGTAATCACTTATCTATTAGTATAATCAACTGAATTAATTATTATTAAAATAATTTTAATCATTTAATTCGAATTTATTAATGATAATACATTTGTCAGTGATAGTATCATTGCAGCATTTAGCAACTTTCATTTCATATTAATCACTTTTCGATACTATCCAAATAGAAAAGGCAAATGAATTGAAGAATTTTTTACTTTCTTTCCTTTTTTTCTTAAGAATTTTTTCGAAACGAATCAAAAAATTCATTAATTATTAATTACTATTTATTGATAATATTAAATAACATTTTTCTTTCCATAAATTATTCAATTGTCACGTTTTTTTTTTTTGGACTTTTCCGTAGGATTTCATTAAGTTTAAATTACATTACATACTTTCTTTTCAAAAATCAATTTTCTTGCATTGGAAAAAAAAACAAAAAAGCAAAAAATTTAATTAAATAAGATTATTTGTTCTTGGAAAAGGATAATTTTCTCTCTCAGATATCTCAATTGTAATTAATATCTAATGAGTGAACAATTAAAATAGTAATCTTTTTTTTTTTGCTTTTTTGCAGTATCTTTATAGGAGATTTTAGAAGTGATAAGAAAAGTTTAGTTGAAATGATCAAAATATCTGTGAATATTATCATTGTTGAATTATTTTTCTAAACTTTATTTATAATGTACGCAAATTTTATCAAAAATTATTAAAAATTACATAAAAATTATTTACGTATGCAAATTTTTGATAATTTATTCTGCTAAATTGTTCTATTGAGAATTGAAATGGATTAATAAACAAAACGAATTCACTTTTTTTAAATATAGGTTGAAGGTCAAAAAATTAAGCGATGAACTGAATATAATTAGTTGAATAAATGAAATTCGAATTAACTCTTGGTGAGAAATCTCTACTTGTTTTTTCGTAATTATTTCAAAAATTGGTTAGTTTCAGCTACGGGATCTCGATTTTCAATCAATCCAACCCGAACGTAAACTACGTCTCGTCATTG